TATTCCATGCCGATTCCTCACTAATATATCACCTAATTCAGTTGAAAGTTTTCTCACTAAGTACTTTACTCATAGGTAATACCTTAGATTGTGTTATTTTGTGACTTGATCAAATTTGTTGAATTAATCTAAGTCCATTTTGTCTAAAACTACAGTCTGTAAACGTGTCCAGGAACTAATTATCACAAATGGACAGGGCTTACATAATGGCTTACAGGTCCATGTTTATTAACAGAAATGGCCGACTGGGGATCATTTTTGTATCCATGCTAGATTCTATGTCTGTAAGGTGCTTATCATCACAGCATTTTGTCAAGGTAATTCCATTCATACTGAATTAAAATTGAAATACCGATGATACATAGAGCCTCTTGCAGACCAATATATCGATATATGAGATTGACTGCTGACAAAACTACACAAGACTGTGCATTATTAGCTTGTTATGCCGTTAAAACTGTTTAAGTTTTAGAAGAGATCTACTTCTTTCTTCTTCAAGCAGCAATACAAAAGAAATGAACCATAGATCATGAGTTAACAGCTGGTGATAACACAATAAGTATAAATTCATTTATGCATTATGTGTAGTATGTATATCCAGGTTGATTAATCTATTCAGATCAGTATCTACACAAAAAAACACATTTTAAGGCATCTTCGCCAGCCATGGAACGTTTGTTTCGGGTCACCCCTCCAAACTAACCCGATTGAACCACTACTGTGTGTATTTAATATGCGCCCTCAACGGCAGAGATGCGACAAAAATCAACGGCCAATCAGCTGTCTTGTATCAAAATACAGTAGGACGGGTGATTTTCAAAATGGCGACCGAAGCACGCAGTTTTTCAAGATAAAAAGCCTCACCGATCACCAAAACCATGCAATTGGGGCAGTACTAGCTGAAAAAGAGTTTGTTGCAACAAGAACAGGGAGTGATAAGATCACGAAAATTGTGCAACAGTTCAACTCTTGAGTGATCAGTCGAGTAGAGTTTCTGAGATTTTCTTTCAGAGTTGACAATTTGATCACTTTGTTAAAACATAGTTGACATAAATATTTGTCACTTTGCTGACGAAGTATTTCACAAACAGCCTTCAATGTTGGCATAACAAATTGTGCAAACTGGGTGAAAAAATGCAGCGCCAGTTTTTTGTTAAAAACAACCTAAACACACTCTACACGCACGATTACTAGAAGAATTGTGAAGTAACCATGATATACGTCGCCATTTCCGACATTTTGTTGGCGATCCGCTAGGATTGCCCTTATAATCACTTTTGTCGTGTGTGTGTGTGATTTCCAGTGTTTTCACGAATTATTTCTTATGTGATTTTTTTGGCTTTGCCGATTTCTCTCAAACTTGGCAGGTAGGTCACACCTTCACCCTAGTTATTAGAAATAATCAGAAAATGTGTTTTGGCCCACCGTTGCCATAGCAACAGCCAAAACACTGATTTTTGGATAGCTTCGCGCCAAATGTATCTCCTCCTACAAATTTAGGATAAAACACTTCAGACATAGCTCATTCTACTCAGCTTGAGTGTGGGCACAAGTTACTGTTTGAATTTTTGACATCTTTTTTCATTACCGAGAAATTTGACCCCAAAGTTGGGGTAACTTTTCACCAGCAACGGCTCTTAACTCCTCTGTGATTTTTTCGGCTTGGCTGAGGTAGGTCGTACCGTCACTAATTGGAAAAAAAATCCGGGCCCACCACTGCCATTGCAACATCCAAAAACTGATTCTTGAATACTTTCGCCCCAAATGTATTACCACCGACCAGTTTTGTAATAGCAGTGTTCAAATGATCATGCTTTTTATTTTGGCTACGTTGCGCACTGGTAAGAGATCACCGACCCGACATTGTTACACTGTATCAACGTAATCCCAACGCAACTTTGAATGAACTGTAAATGCTGCCTTCATTCTAGAATATACTATCGCAAAACGGTTGGAAATAATAAATGTAACAGCAGAATACGTCCTAGTAATAAACTAAGTGATTTCTTCTTTGTATATGGCCCATTTAGTTATAAACCGACGTTAGCTTCACGTTTATGTCACACCATGGAAACAACCAAAACATGTTGCTTGTTTTTGAGCAGAGCGGATCGCCAACCAGCCTACTGTTATTTAGCTTACTGTGCAATTTTACACAGCATCTGATTGGGCGCTTTTCCAACAGGCGCATCCAATCAAACTTGGCCATTTTTTTTACATACAATATGTGTTTACCCACTAGGCTGATCCCGCACGGGTTGGTGGAGTCGGCACCAACAAACCGTGCGATTCGGGCGATGATCTTAAGGCAACAGAGTTTGTGTGCGACTCATCAACATTCGATGTTTCCTTCAATTTGTATGTCAAGTTTAAACAACAAACCCATTATTATTAGGAAATCCTGGTAATTTATTTCTAAAATTTTATCTGAGTATGTTTGTTTACATTTCGTTTCCTCATGAACTACTAGGTGTAGCTGTAATACAAACATCAGGGACACACTACTGCTCTTATATTAAAGAACTCTGCACTGTCCATTAGGCCAAAAAAAAACAAACAACTTATGTTGCCCTCAATTCGGAAAATTGAAAAATTGAGTCGGTCGGATTTTTTTTTTTTTAAACTCGTGAAAACTAAGGGTATCGTAAATAGCCGGGGTATATGGGAATCAATCAAATGCATGCTAGATATTAAACACAAAAATCAAAGTGTTTCTTTCAGTCTTTTGTATTTAAATACAGACCAACCGGAGGTTCAAAGTCGCAACTTATCCCCCGGGAACCATGGGGATCAAACAACCGTCCGAGGAAACACTTTTTTACTGCTTAAAATTTTTAATAATTGGGCCTACTAAAAAAAAAACAAAAAAAAAACAACGACCCGATATTTCATATTTTTCGGTCGGCCGCAGAGGGCTACAAAACAATTTTTTTTGGGCCTTATTGCGTGTTAACAGAGCTTGAACAGGGATATAGTAAACAAATTATATATCTTGCCAATTATTGTGCAAATCCTCATCCTTGCCCTGTTATCACACAATATAGCTGGTGCCGTAGCTTTTATTTGCTAATTAACTTGGTAATATTGACATTGACTACTGAGAACAATATATTACCATATATAGGCAGAAATAATTGAGTGTATGAAAAAATTAATAATGAGACCTGTTTGTGGATTTACAAAAATCATACAAACTACATGTATCTGGAAAGTTGCTTAGAAAACAAGGCTGGCTGAAACTTCCAAATCAACAATTTCATTAGTTTAATTTATAAAATTTCCTATTTTATAGTTTATCAATGCTGTATCAGTCAATTGACAAATTCTGTTCATTCAAATCAGTTTTTGCATTGTTTGAATCTCCAACAACAGTTAGTGGAGCAGTGACAACCATTACTGGGGATGAAAGTAATTTTTCTGTAGAATCTCCAGCAGCACTTTGTGGAGCAGCGATATCCATCGCCGGGGACAAAAGTAATTTTTCTATAGAATCTCCAACATTACTTCGTGGAGCAGCGATATCCATTACTGGGGACGAAAGTAATTTTTCTGTAGAATCTCCAGCAGCACTTTGTGGAGCAGTGACATCCATTGATGGGGATGGAGGGAGTAAACTAGAATTTGCTGGACGACTTTCAATGTAACATTTGGGTACTTTGACATCCAATATTTCTGGCAACATCCATGGTTTTAACCAACCAACAAGTGGCGTACTGCCCGGTGTGTAGTGAGTCTCTTTGTGGTAGAACAATATTCCATCCAGCTGAACCTGCAAAACATAAGAGACATACATATGAAAATTTCTCTTTACAAAACTAAGGCAAGACTTTTTTTATTTTTTGTTTCTTGAGTTTTTACAAAGCAATTTTTTTGAGGAGGGCGAAAAAATAAATAAAATTAATTCTTTTTTTTCCATTAGATTTGTGTGATTCTCAAAGAATTGTAAGTGAGATCATTGATCAGAAAGAAGAAATGAAATAAATTTTTTTTCCATGTATAACCTTGTTTCCCATCTGCGCGAGACTTTGGTACTTTGATCATGATACTCCCACGAAAATGCAACTTGGGTTTGTTATGTGGCTGGCGAAAATAAAATGAACATAAAAATAAGTTTTTTTTTGGCAATTTTTTGCACCTACAAGTCGGCGGGCGCGAGAAATTACGCTGAAATAAAATATTATTTTTATTTCATTTTCGGCTCCTGTTCATTCGGCGGGTTCGTGAAACAAGGGATAATAAAAGTCTGGCCTAAGGGGGATTTGAATTATAACACGATCTAAATCCTACTTCAAGCCGATACAATTTTCTTTGTGTTTAGTTCCTGAGCTTCTTTGTTAAGAGAGGGAACATCCATACGTAATTTTACAGGAAAAACGTGTAAACTCGATGGATTATTTACGTTAATACATGTAACAATAGGTTTGAGGGCTGCCGAGTCCAAACAAGCAGCCTCTCGGCTTTCATTAAAAAATGAACAAATCTGAGAGAGGTCCACCTGTAGTACCTTTATGTATAGTATCAAATCAATCAGACTTAAAAATATCACTTTTTTACCAAAATGACAAAAATATTCATTAAAATAAGAGAATTGAAGATGTTATCATAAAATGATCAAATCTAAGTGAGGTCAACCCAAGGTACAAATACACCAAAGAATTAGGCTTGTAGTTTTCAAGAAGAAGTTGAACAAACAGCCTGTCGGCTGAATAGCTCCGCTGTTAGCAATGTACATTGCAATTAAAGAACTGAAGATATCATTAGAAAATCAACAATATGTATAGTATCAAAGCAATCGGACTTGCTGTTTTCGACAAGAAATATAACTTTTTACCAAAAATTACAAAACGAATTCATTAAATTTAGATAATCGAAGATATCATCACTAAATGAACAAATCTGAAAGAGGTCCACATGTAATACTTTTATTTGTATTATCAAAGCAATCAGACTTGCGGTTTTCAACAAGAAGTCGAAAATACCACTTTTTACCAAAAATTACAAAAAAGAAAGTAGCATGGGTACCATGAAAAACAAAATGGCCGCCAGTCGGCCATATTTGTTTGAATCACGAATAAAAGTATGATGTGCACCTATAACCCATATGATCATCATACGAATTTTGATCCAAATCGACTCAGTCATCTCTGAGAAACTGCTGCGGACACGTTTAGGTATCAGAAATAGCAAATTTTACATCCAAAACGGCCGCCGGTCAGCCATTTTTCTCCAATAATAAAGTAACTCGACGCGCATATGTAAGACATTATGCAATGTCTTCATGTAAAGTTTGAATGAATCCGTCAATGGGTGTCCCAGATATAGCTCTGTATGCACGTACGTACATACGGATGGACAGACGGTCGGACGGAATGAGCCAAAATTAATAGTCCCCGTTTTCGGACTTCGTCCGAACGGGGACTAAATAGTACTTCATTAAGTACTTTCTACTTTAGAATCAATGTTTTTGATGTTGTTTCAATGTTCTATTCCCACATTTGAAAGACATTTAAACGGTAAAATCATAAACATATTCACAAATTATTCTAATTAAAGAAGACTTTAAATTCTAAGACAAACATACAAAGCCATAGCGAAGGTACTTCCCAGCAGTCGTTACATTGCGTATTGTTTTTTCAAACCACTTTACTTACCTCAAAAGGTAGAGGTGATGCCATGGTTTTTTCAATGTATTCTGTCTTACACGAACAGTATGGCAATGGTATAATTTTATACTACAATAAACAATAGAGATAGATTATCAATAAAATTATTTTAGAACTATGATTTGCTAGCAAAAAATGCATGGTCTGAAAC